CTTTGCTTGCCTGACTGCTTTCTCAGCTCAATCACTGCCTGGGAGAGACCTTCCCTGAACACCCTAAGCTAGTTAAAGAGGCAACCTCTACCCCCTTGGCACTCTCTATTACATTTCTCTGTTTTATTATTTTCTAAGCAATGTTGTTATTTGAATCTTCTTGTTTATTGGTTTACTTATACTTTATTTGTCTCCCCTCATGATAATATAATTTCTGTAAGGACAGAGGTCTTTCCCATTTTGTTCACTGCTAAATTCCCAGTGCTAGAACAGTGTGTGGCCCTAGTAAGTAGATAATGAGCATTACATATTCTTAAGTGAATGAATGAATTGAATTAAATGGAAACAGTCAATATTTTACATATCCATACTTTTACTGTTTGTCCTTTTAATTTAACCATAGTCTTTCATGTATTTAATCGTCTATTTCCCTCCCCCCCCTCAACTAGCCATGTACACCTTCATGTGATCAGCCAGGATTTTGATTCTCCGTGCCTTAAAAACAAAAAACATTGGAATTCTTTTAATACAGAATACTTCCTAGAATCTCAAGGTAAATAGTATTCTTTGGTTTTCACAATTGTTTCATTTTCTCAGCTATTCTTAATACTTGACTCCGTTATTTCCCTAAATAACAATCTGGTCTCAAAAACCCCTATTTAACTTTATATTCCCTATAAAGAGGGCCCCACTAAAATAAACTGGATTATTTGAATTGTAGTGGGATTGTCACTTTGCTGTGAGCAGCCATCTTTGGAGACCTAGAAAGCTGTTATATCAGGGTCAGAAAGGTGTTTTATTATAATACCAGGGTACTTAAAAATTGTTCTGAGAATTATTGGAGTTCGTAGATATGAAAGCTCGGAACACTTCTATGTCTCTTCTGCCATCAGCTGAGCAGGAACATGGGTCTACCTCGTGTTAGGAGTGGTTAATTAACAGGGGAAGGGCGTGTGTGTAGAGGAACATTTCCCAGTGTACATTCTGTGGAACTTAAGTATGCTGGGGGATTAACAGTGACAGCTGCCATCGACCAAGGGTCAATTAGTGGTAAAGCACTGTGATAAGGCTCTGACATAGTAACAGGGATTGCTTAGAATGTATCTCAGTGGAATGTAATATCCAAAATAGGTTGCTCAGATTGAGAATTTGATTAAGCCCCTTTCCCCAGCAATGAGTCTAATCTCAAATTTACAGGATACCTGGCATATATTTATTTGGGGTCACATTTTTTTTCCTTTGTATTGGCTTTCCAGAGTATCTGGGCTCTGAACTTTTTTTCCTTGCTTGCAGCTGTGATCAAGATGATACAAGAGGCTGGCAGAGTGACTGTCCGAGATGGTATGCCAGAGCTCTTGAAGCTGCCCCTGCGTTGTCATGAGTGCCAGCAGCTGCTGCCTTCCATTCCTCAGCTGAAAGAGCATCTCAGGAAGCACTGGCCCAAGTGATTGTGTGGAACCTGAACTTCTGCAGCAAGTATGGTGATTGTTTAGAGCAGACTCCTGGCACCTGTTCTGGATTGCCTGTGAACTTTTACTTATTTCTTAAATTAAAAATACAGGCTTTTTTTTTTTTAAAACAAATTTTGTTCTATTCTTGAGTGGCAAAATGTGGGGTGACTCAAAATAGGTCAGGAATTAGGGATTTGGGTTTGTCATGGATGTGTTCTCTGGTTGGGCGAGGGTGGCTGGGATAGGCCTGACCACTATCTCCAGGACCCACATCAGCTCTAATGGGAGCAATGCAGGATATGGAAGTAGAGGGCAGATAATACCAGTATGTTTCTGTTCCTTGTACTTATCCTCCCTCCCGGAGGCACGAGATGCCCTTTCTTCAGACCAGCTGGAGGGGTCTCTTGTATATCCTGAAGGCATTGATTGGTTTAGTTCTCTGATCTTTTTTAATTAAAAATTTTTTTTCAATTACAGTTTACTTCCAATATTATTTTGTATTACTTTCAGGCATACAGCATAGTGGTTAGACAATCATATACTTTACAGTGTTCCCCCTGATATTTCCAGTACTCAGCTGGCACCATCAGTTATTACAATATTACTGATTATATTTCCTATGCTGTATTTGTTCTCTGATCTTAATCTGTTCTGTAATATTCTTTCTCTTTCGCTTCTTCATGGAGAGGCTTAGATCCTTCTGTCCCTTTCATATTTTTCTATCCCAAACCACCCAAGTACTGCCTTCTCAGGAAGTCTATCTCATAAGTTCTCCTTCACTCTGAGCAAACAGGCTAGGTGAGTGGGTGGAGGGATGGGGCTTTCTTCTAGTTATCAGGTGCTCCTGGATGGTGAGGAAATACTCAGCCATATGTTCATCACAGTTCACTGAGTAAGTCTTGCTGGCCTGCTTGAATCTGTTTGAAAATAAAGTTCATTTGTTTGAGGCATCTCTCCTAGGTAGTTGAAGCTAACAGTTTAGCTAACAGTCACAAAGTAATTTCTGATACATGAAAAGATAGTTGTTTAATGAAAAAGTTGCCTAGAGCCCCACAGCGTCATTTTCCCCTTAAAACGGGTGGGCAACCTTTTTGTGAGTGCGTGCCAAAAACAGCAAAATCTCTGACTCAAAATTCTTCTGCGTGTCAACCCTAATTTTTTGAGAACATGTTACGCCTACTTGACATCTCTTTTTTTTTTTTTTAATATATTTTATTGATTTTTTACAGAGAGGAAGGGAGAGAGATAGAAAGTTAGAAACATCGATGAGAGAGAAACATCGATCAGCTGCCTCCTGCACATCTCCTACTGGGGATGT